GTGTTCAGCTGAACAAAACTAGGTTGCCTTGATTTGAGGTACTACCTATGTGGGAAGCACAATCCTTGGCTATCAAAGAGAAACAGCTTAACTGGAAAATTAACATTTGAAGGACCATGCATTCCACTTTCTTACATGGACTTGGAACTTCTGTAGGTTTCAGGAGAAACACCAGCAGTTCAGAGCAGAAGTTCAAATTTCACTGCAGATGTGGTGGTTTGTTGTGTAAAGAACTGGAATTTATAGACTATGCATATTGAAGGACACAATGCATTTAAAAGTAAGCTCTGCAAAGGAAAGAACAATTTTCAGATTACTGTTTCAGAAATAAGTATTTAAGTTATTTTTCTTTGGAGGTGTGTTTTTCCTTTGGGATTCCAAAGGATGAATGTGATTCTATAGAACCACTACAGAAATGAAAACAAGAGTACAACTAGATTGTTTGGACTCAATTGAACATGTAGTCTTGCACACAGAGAAAATATTAATTATGAATTATGTCTGAACCTGGAGGATCAAGAAGGGATATGGGGCCTTGGAAAAAGCATTTGCCAGTTACTGTAGGTCATAAGAATGAAGCATTGCCAAAAATCTTAGTCAATGTTTTAATTGCCTGTAGAGGTGGTTTCAGGACCAAATCAGCCCTTTACACATTTCCAGAAGTGTTATCTCAGCACAGCTCTGACACAGCTTTGCTAATGGCAGATGTGAGCCCACAGCTGGCAGACTGATAATTTTCTGGTGTTTTGCCAGCACTTCTTTAATTAAACCAAGTGTCAAGGATTTGTTCAAAAGTGTGCTTTTCAAATGTTAACCAAAAGCTAAACAGCTAGCAGGGTGGTTTCTTTGTTTTAACTGTACTAGCAGGTCATTTTAAGAAAGCTCTAATGGTACATGACAAAGAGAATACAGCGTGTTGCTGTCCCTCAGACTTCCATACCTGCATATTTCAGAAGAAACTGAGGCATAAATAAAGCCACTGTTTCCAAAGTACAAAGTTTCTATCAACAGCAGGCACAGTGCATTTCAAGAAGCTTGGCCTGAGGTCCAGCAAGACAAAGGGACACTTCTAAAACTGACCCTTGAGTGCTGCTGCCTCGTCAGGGCAGTGCTCTGCTGCTGGTGATTTCCTCACGCTCTGAAGGCACAGCAGGAAAAGCTGAGGTGTCCTCTTTGAAACAGCTGAGTGCAAATGCAGCAGGAGCAGCTCTGAGACACCTTTCCCTGTGTGAAAATACCAATATCCAGCACTTTGAAGCACTTTGCTGAGTGCAGCCCCACGTGCTAAATTTACGTCATTGTGTTGTCCAAGCAGCATAGTTGAAGTAGGCGAACGATCATCTAAAAACATACAAAATTATGCATTCTAAATGCTGTATCTGCTTTTATAGTGCACAGCTGAAAAAAACCCTCTCCCAGCAGAGAGTATGTATTTCTAGATAATTTATATCTGCCTCTACATAAAGGAATCTGAGATTCATCTTAGTAGATGTAAAGTATATTTTTTGCTGCTTTGGCCTCCCTAGATCTGGTTTTAAAAGGACTCCCTTAATAACTCCCTCAGTAATCACAGGACAAAGCTTTTGAGGGGAAAAAAATGAAATTCCAGATCTGTCACTAATAAAGCCCTGTATCAAAATCAACATTTTGTTCACCAAAACACTTTTTCAAGTCTCCACCAGGCATCATGATTTTAATGCCTTGATGTTACTGAGGGGAAACCGAGGGAGAATCACACAGTAAGTTAAATAGTACAGCAAAGTTCATTCTAAAAGTCTCTAGGAAATTTTGGAAAGAGATCTGGGCTGTTTAAATCCTAGCAGTCTGGCTTAGCCAGAGAACATTCTTCACCTGCAGCCATGCCAACATGCCTGCTGCTTCCAGCACACTGCCCTTGGCTGGCAGAGCTGTGGGTGGTGCTGCAGCCTCAGGGCTGTGTCCTGGCTGGTGCTGCAGCCCCAGGGCTCTGTCCTGGCCACCTCCAGTTCTCCTGTGGGAGCTGGGAAGCTCATGGTGAACCCTGCAAGGGACAACTGTTAGACACTGGAAATAGGAGCTGCCTTTGGGCTTGCCATCTTCTTATCACAGATGCTTGTTGCTGTATTTTGGGAGTTTTAGTCTAGATATGACAGAAATACTCATTAAATTGAAGTGTAGAAATAGCTTGTACTCTCAGGGAATAAATAAAACATCGGGATCTACAGGAGCCCCTATACTGAAGCTTCACTTTTCATTGTACAGGATAATACTTTTATTTTAGTGGTTTTCTGCCTACAAAAGTGCTGAAAAGCCAGAGAGGCCAAGAGACAGTGCCTGGCACTCTAAGGTCTTCTGAGAAAGGCTGAAGGATTTAATTTTCAGGGAGGTTGAGCTGTAGGCAGCATAAAACTGTCATAGCATTCAGCTGTGCATTAACAATTTAGGTGGGGCTAGTTAATGGTGCATAGATGTTAACTAGGATATACATAGAGTATAATATAACTCTTAAGCCTTGGTGATTCATGGACTGTAGTAATTTTGCCTACTTTTACTTCATAGCTAAAGAGTATTTTAGAAGACATTAAAGATATAAATGAATATAATCTGTATCAAGAACAAAACGAAGTGTTTTGCAGATCAGATTGCTCAGATTTTTCCTCAAAATTTTACATTGCAATTAAACCTTGATGAATGAAATGAAGGAAGGACAACTGAGTTGAGGCTTCTAAAGTAGCAGAGATGTTCTGAGTTAGCCTGTTCTTCTGATTTTTGCTTGATCCACACAGAGTTCAGTGTATTTGTCTGTCTTTGGTCCTCCTTTAAAGCACTGAGGTCTCTGTCTTGTGGGCAATAAGTTTAAAAACAGAAATTGTAGCTACATGAAAAGGATCTTAGAAGGGATGGTGTCACTATTTGTTGGCAACAGCAATGAATATTTTGATATTTTTACTCATACATTGCCTGCAGTTGGTATGAGCAGGGTGTACAGGAAATGGTTTATGAGCCAGAAATACTGGTACACGAGAGCATGAGCTCAAGGGTCAGAAAAGGAAAAACAAGAAGCAACTAAACTTCACAATAGGCTGGTAGAAAACGTGTGCCAAAAAAAAGGGAAAAGCATTCCAGAAAGAAACCCTTGAGGCTGCCTTCTTGGCTGGTACAAACTGATGTTTGTTCTGCTGTAATTTAGTGTAGTGACCTTAATGTATGCCAGCTCAGGTTCTGTCCCTTCACCTTTAGGATATGTGCAATAATTGGTTTCCTGAAAAATACATTTCCTTGCCTGGGATGGTGGTTGTGCTGAATAAGTGTTCTGCATTGCTGTGCCACACACAGAAGGAGCTGTGCTTCAGCTGTGGGAATATAGCTTTGCTTTCTGCATTTGGCACTAGAAAGGCTTTTAGTCCCACCCTTTCAATGTGGTGGTTTGTGGTCCTATTTTCAGGGAAGGCTTTTTGTTTGTTTGTTTTTGGTTTTTTTTGGGTTTTGTGGGGTTTTAATTTTTATTAGAGGGTTTGTTGAAAAAAGCAGTATTTGCCTGTACTTGGAGATCTCAGAAGGGTGGGCGAAGAGGCACAGATGGCTGCTTGGCCAGAAACTGTATTTATTCTAGAAGATTTGTTAGCATGATTTTAGTAGAAGATAAAGTAGTCCATGAACCTTCCCCTGGGCATGTCTTTGGTACAGTTTATAGCCCACTTGCAAACTCTTGACTGTGACATCTCTTTGATCCAGTTACAAGCATCTTCTGAGGGAGATGGTGGATACAAAGCAAGAACTCCTCTGGGACCTCTGATGTGCCTGGCTTCCCCAGCAGACAACCAGTCTTTCCTACTATACAGGCATAAGAGAACTCACTGCAGTTGCAACAAGAGTTGTTCTTAGTGATTCTCTTGTGTTCCCTTTGAAAACACAGTTATTTAGCCATGCTGTTTTCATATAATGTTATCTCCAGCTTTCCATTGATATCTATCATCTAGAAAAAATATTCTGCTGTTCTAGTTGAGTACTTAATGTGAATTCTACTGGTTTTGAATAGTATTTTTAGTAGTAATTTTTATTATCTAAAGGCTATGCAAAAAATTGCATCTGTGCCCAAAGCTTGCCTGTTTTGTCCAGGCATAGAAATTGTTCTAATTAACACTCCCTGCATTTGGTAGAAGCCTTTCTCCCCTTTGTATGTGCCCACACACAGAGTAAACTTCTGCTGTAACTGCAGTGAGGATTCAGGCAGAACAAAGTCATTAAGTATTTAACTTGTATTTGCTTTTGAAATCAACTTCACATGCAAGCAATGCTGCTCTGCCAAAGGTGTGCATTGCAGGTGACCTAAGGGAGGATGCCACTTCCACCTGTAACACCTGCCCTGCCTCAATACCTTTGTGTGCACATGTGCTTGTATAAAAGCAGTTCTTTGTTTGCAAAACTCCTGTACCAAATCCTGAGTTGCAGGAGCTCAGGATCTGAAGGCATGCCTTGAAATGCAAAGTCATGCAGTGACTGTAATAAGCAGCCTGTAGAAATACAAAAGGAAAAGTGGAAATATGGTATGGAAGCATAGGATGAGAATAAGCTGCTTTGGTGAACTTTTAATAAGTTATGGAAGCATGCACATTGAGTGTTTCAACTCTGTTGAATCTGAGCCCAAAACATTAATAATGAAATATGTGAAGCTGTTGTGAAAAGGAAGTAATTCTAATCTAATATTGAATTTATCTTGAAGTGTTGTGCTGTTGCTGAGGAAAATGACAGCTCAATAGAAGCTTTAATTTGTTTTTTTAAATAGAACTGTTGCTCCATTAACTTCACAAAGGAATTTTCTTCAACAGGCACTTTTGATACTGTTACTTAACAGCACAGCTTGTTACCTGTTTTTAAGAGGTCTCCTGATGTTTATATTATTCATCTGGATTAGAATTTTGCAATGCCTTCACTAACCTTCTAAAGTTCATTAATAGGAAGGCAAAAATAACTTTGCTGTTGATTATAATGCTACCTTTTTTTTTTTTTAATCTAAACAGATGTGTCCTGAAAGCAGCAGGAATATTAGAGAGGTACAGTGTGCATCATACAATAACAAGCCATTTATGGGTCGATTTTATGAATGGGAACCTTTTGCAGAAGGTAAGGGAAGACAACTTGGTTTTGCATTATTGTACAGATTGTGTTTTGGAAAGGCAGATGTGATTTTTACTTAGTGAGAGCCATCAGGCAGCTTTGATCCACAGCTGATGTTGCCTATTTTTACAGCTGGACATGAGTCAGTGCAGATGAAGGTAGGTTTATATCTGACACCCAGGTAGATCTGATAATGATTGTTTCTAATGTCTCAGTGCTGCTCTTATCTACTGTGGGCAAAGTGAGGAGTGGCAGAGCTGCACCTCTTTATCTCCAATTGTGAACATTCAGTGTATGCTGTTTCTAGTTAAAGCCACATTTGGCTTTGTGAAAAGGAAGTTTCAGAGCTGTACAACTGTGGCTCTCTGTACCATGCATTCAGGCAGAGCAGGGAGCCAGGTGCCCCAGCAAGCCCGCGGTGAAGGCACATTGTGCAGGCAGCACTGCTTCTAAAGGTGGCCCTGAAGAGTTATGCTGTGTTAGCTTTGATGCAGCCCTCTTCAAACCCCAGCTGAGAAGACCCAGCCAGTGCTGAGGCAGCTCAGCCCATCTCCCTCTCCTTGCTTCCTGCACAGCAGCTTTGACTCATTCCATCTTTTGCCAAGAAGGATGAATCAGGGGATCTAGAACATGCCATGATAATTTCTTTTTCCCTCTCCTGCATAGCACAGCTTGCTCCTAATGTTTATACTGGATCAAGAAGGGCAATTAAACTGTAATTCACAGCACTGTCTTGCTGGTGTGTTAACTGTGATTATTGTTGTTTTTAAAAAATACACATATTTTTATTTCTCCCTTGTTCAGATTGGTGCAGGTGCATTTCTAACCCATTTTATCTGCTGCTGCTCCAACAGAAACTTTTGTCTTTATTAAAAAAGTCATATTTGAAGGACTATAAACCCTATGAATGTAGAGTATTTAATGAAAAAACCTAGTTTGTGTGTGAGAATCAATATGATGACTTTAAGGGCAGGATTTGAGAAGAAGGATCCAGTTGTGGCAGAGGGAAAACATCACAGTGATGTAACCATAACACCTGTAAGGAAGTTTAAAAAAATAATTAATGTTTTAATCATACTGATAATTGATCTCTTTTAATTTGAAATATTAAGTTCAGTTAACTTTGATTTTCAATTGTGATGAAAAGTTCATAACCTTTTGATGGCTGGATAAAACAATCTATTGAAAAGAGAGAACCTGTTGGAGGATTGAAACGGGTAACTGTGGGGATATAGCCACAGGAGTCACTCTTACTGAAAAAAGGCTGCATTTGTTGAAAGGAGGGGGACAGCTGTAGACTTTTTTTGTCAGAAATTCTCTGTAAGGTTAAATATGGAATAAAGTCCTCTTAGGAGAACCTGTGCCTGATATTTTGTCTTCAGGAGGATACCTGGATAGTCTCGTAAATCCAGAATTCATCATCAAATGCAGTATTTCCAAATCAACAACTGCAAAAAATCCCAGTCAGCTCCAGACCCTCTTGCTTTGACTTCTGTTTGAAAATGTCAGCCAGGTATGTGTAATAAACAGCCTTTTAAGCAGCAGTCCCAGCCAGCCTGGGTTTCTGTTCCAGCTGGTAGAGTTACCCCTGTGCAGGCACAGGCACTGTGAGCTCTGCTCTCTGCAGGGATTTTGGGCTTTACTGGCCTGCTTGCTCTGCAGAATGGTGACCAGTCAGGGCTGCCTCCCAAGTGTGTAAAACTTGAAAGAGCTAAAAATGTGTTCTTTGGGGTCTTGCCTTTTTTCTTCCTAAGTGAAGGAAATTACAAGGAGACAAATACTGCATTTGAGCAATTTCGTTTTCTTAGAGAAAAGTAGAGTTTTTGCAAATCGGAGCTTGGTCCGCTGAAAGTCAGACATGATTTACTCCTAACAGATATTGAGGCTCTTCCCTCAAAGTAATGCAAATGTTAAATTTAAATGGAAATAATTATGTTAATTTTTTGTTTGTTTTGTTATTTTACAGTGGATTTTTAATGGAAAGTTTTCTAAAATGCATGCTTGACCAAGCATAGCCTCCAAATGATATTTTGGTTTGCTTTTTGTTGTAAACAAATCAGCTCTAGTTTCAGAGCTCCCCTTTCAGGTGACTGCAGGCCATTTACTGCCCAGAAATGCTGGCTGTTCCCAGTGTGTGTGATTTTACATGTGCAGCTGTGGCTTGTGTTGGGGCTGGCTGCATGTTGGCTCTGGAGGCAATAGCAGGAGTGGGGCAATAGCAGGAGTGGGGACGTGGCTCGGGGATCATCCCGGCGCTGTCTGTACACTTGATTCAGTTCCACTCGGTAGAGTCAAGATGTCTTTGGCTCCAAGTGCTGCATGAAGCCAGCCGAGTTTCTAGGAGCAGAGCCACGTTCAGATCTCGGGATCAGCTTAAGAGCTGCTGCTGGCAGCCAGGCCTGGAGGCCGGAGGGCTGCGCGGAGCGGGAACGGAGCGGCCCCGTCCCTTCCCCGGAGCAGCCCCGTCCCTTCCCCGGAGCAGCCCCGTCCGTCCCCTCAGCGGCCCCGTCCCTTCCCTGTTCCCGCTGGGTGCTCCGGGAGCTGCGCCTTCACCTGCTCCGGGCACAGAGGGCTCTGGCAGGCAGCAAGAGCTTTGCGAGGCCTGGCAGCCTTGTTTCCATTCCTCCTGAGTGCCAGGCCTGGCTTGCTGCTGTGCCCTCCCTGTTGTGCTTGGTGCTGAGAGAGACAGGGATTTTTACAGAGCCTGAAACACCGCGTTGCTCCTGGAAGCAGAGTCAGAGTCAGGCTAAGTTTCAGCTGGAATGAAAGTTCCTGTAGCTGAATGCAGGGTGTGTCAAATGGCACTGATGTCACTGCTGCATTTTCTGTGGGGGGAAAAATGTGTCCCCAGTGTCCTCCAGTGTTGTTGTTGCCAGACCTGACTACTGATGGGCACCACAAAGAGTGACTGAAAGTCACCTGGGGCAAAAGAGGCTTACAGGGCCAGGAATCAGCACCCAGCCTTGTGACAGGCCAGGAGGCAGTTTTAGCTGGCTTCTCTTTACTTGAAATGTATCAGAATCCAAGCACTGAATGAATGGAAGGATATTTTGTCAGTGTGGTTTTTCATGCTGAACTTCAATGGGACTCTTTTCTCAAAAATGGCACTCAGGTCAATACTCCATCCCTGAAGCCTGTGCTGTGTTCAGAGGAGTACTCACTGTACAGGTAAATCTGTACATGCTGTTAAATCATTTATCAGTTCACTTTTGTCCTGAAGTACCTTCTAGTAACCTGACTTCTAGCTAGAGATGTCTGCCTGCTACAGCTGGGATAAATATAAGCTCTGAAGAAAATGAAATTTATTGCTTCCACCAGTGTCTAGTAAATTCTGCAACTTCAATACTTTGTGTCAGACAAGAGGTATTTAAGATTTAGTATCAATCAGTTTGCGTATTAAGATGGAGACTGAAGAGTGATGCAAAGCTGCTGCATTTATTGATTTGTGGTTTTTGCTTGCTGGATTTTTAACAACAGTTGTCACTTGTTTTGAATGACAAAATAGCTTCTAACAGATCAAAATGTAGTGGCCCAACTCAAGATGTTAAAGTTGCTAAGAAACTTCTCGAGTCTGCTGGCAATTGATGACACTGAAGACACTGAATGAGGTCTGATTAATATGATTTAAGTAATTATAAAATGGAAGAAAAACCTAAGATCTCTTAAAAATCTTGGTCAGGTGCTGCGAGGTGCACATAGCACATCAAGCACTTGGAGTAGCCAGGAGTCAGGGAGGAGGTTTGGGGAGTGCAGTTACCAGGGCAATGCAGAAGCTGCTGGTGGATGGATCCTGGACAGTCAGCTCTAGGCACAGAGCTGCTGTGCTGATGTTTCAGGCTTGGGAGGTTGTGGCTCAGTTGCCTGGGCTTTGTGCAGACCATAAGGGTATAAGGGCTTGAGAGGAGTGTATTTATTAATTTCTAAAGTCTTGTCAATAAGATGTTTGTGGAGTATTTTCCATTCAGCGGTGGAACAGCAGAAAGCTGTTCCAAGGCCAAGCCTGAATGTATTATGCTTGTATTTGGTGGTTTAGTGTGGGGTTTTTTTTCTCCTCTTAGAATTGTAAGATATGTTTATAAACAAATTATAGATAGATATTGTTTATATGCACATTATTAGAGCAAGGATTCATTCAGTGTCCGTTGCTGGCATTCATTGCATCTTGGTACCAAACCATTCTAGAAACACTGTGTGGGTTGATATATATGGAGAAATCTAACATTTGTGTCATCTGTTTATGCTAACTGGAAGTGGAACTTCAGTTTAGAGTACTCAGAGAATTGATTGTTGTGTATGGTCAGGAAGGTGGGTCCTGGTGTGTGTTTCCTGAGTGCCTGTGATCCTTGGCAGTGCAGTCCTTGAGACCCAAAGATATCTGAGTCCCAGTTTGTGAATGCTTGGCCTTCCCTGATTTGTGACTGCCAGCTCCTTGGGGCTCAGGAGAGGCTGTGCTGAGGTGCATTCTTCCAGCTTTGTGTGCAATTCTTGGACAGCCTAATGTTTTCACCCAGAGGACAAGAAGTCATCTTACTGTTTTATTTATACTTTCTCAAGTAACTTACTTCTAGTTAGTGAGCATACAGATATACATATATCTTGCAACTATATATGTATATATGCATATATACTGGGAATCTACACACAGTATCTCTAGAAATAATCCAGCTGTGCTGAGGTTCATGCAGCTGCAAGTTATTATATTCAATGAGGCAGCTGCTTGAAGTCTTCATTTCTCATTGCAGCAGACCATACTTCTCTGCTTCTCTTTTGCCTCCACCTGTTAGAAATTTCTGATTGCTTCTATTCTAGTCTGTGGCTAGTTGTTCTTTACAGTGCATGTCCTTTAATTGCATGCACTTTATTTCCTAAAACAATTTGATTTTGCTTCTCCTGTTTTATATGAAATGTTGTAGGCAGATAGATTCATCTATGAGGCATCAGACAGTTTTGGGAGACTTGAAATGTTATAAGTAGATAGTGTTTATTTCTAATGATTAGTTACAACT